TCTAGCCGGTCCCAAGCCCGGATAAGGAGGGAGGGTTGGGGCGTGGTGCTAGCAACTCCACCCCGAAAACTTAACCAAACTGCTACTAAAACTTCAACGCACAAATATATTCAAAATTCTAAAATTACAAATAATGACCTTATTTTTCGCTGGAATCGGGGAAGTGAAATGACGCAGGCTGGTGAAAGACTTCGGGAAGCCAGTCAGCCGATGTGCCTTCTTTCGATGAGAGCTAAAATAAGGATGGGGACGTGGAATGTTCGTACAATGTACGAAGCTGGGAAGGCTGCTCAGGTAGCCGCAGAAATGAGGAGATATAAAATAGAAGTGTTGGGAATCTGTGAGAGCAGATGGAACGGATGTGGAAGGAGCAAACTATCAACTGGAGAGACAATAATCTACTCCAGTCACCCAGAGGACAATCACGAGCACACCGAGGGAGTAGCCATCATGATGTCACCAACAGCGGCTAAAGCTCTCATGCAGTGGGAACCAATCTCCTCCAGGATAATGACAACCAGGTTCAACTCAAAAGGAAAAAAGGTTACAATCATTCAGTGCTACGCGCCTACAAACGCCTCAGAACATGAGAAGAAGGAGGACTTCTACAATCAACTACAAACAGTAATGGGCAACGTCCCAAAGAGCGATATCAAAACCCTGATGGGCGACATGAATGCGAAACTGGGAGGAGACAATACAGGAAGAGAACTCACCATGGGTTGTGAGGCCCTCGGTGAAATGAACGAAAATGGTGAACTCTTCTCAGACTTCTGCGCCTTCAATGATTTGGTGATTGGTGGCAGTGTGTTCAAACACAGGGATATACACAAGGCAACATGGATTTCACCAGATGGACACACCAAAAACCAGATAGACTTCATTTCAATCTCAAGGAAGTGGAGACGGAGCCTACTGGACACAAGATCGAGGAGAGGAGCAGATGTGGGTTTAGACCACTATCTAGTACAAGGGACTTTCTAGGTGAAGCTGAGAGCCTCGAGGATACCTGGGGATAGGCCACAATGCAAGTTCAACACGCAGAAACTGAAAGACAACCACACAGGATATTTTCACTGCAACTGTCAGAGCAAAGCAGGAAACACTTCGTGGCACCACTGAGGAATCATCCGTGGAAGACCATTGGAACTCTCTGAAGGTAATTTTCAACGAAACGTGCTCAACGGTTTTAGGAAGAAAGAAGAAACAAGACAAGGAATGGCTCTCAACAGACACTTGGAAACTAATAGAGGAGAGGAGAAAGGTGAAAGAAAAAATGATTCAATGCAAAGATGGACAAGAGAAAGAGACGCTGAACTCAACTTACACAGCACTGGACAAAGAAGTGAAGAAGAGTGCCAGGAAGGACAAAAGACAATTCTACGACAACCTGGCTACTGAAGCTGAGAAGGCAGCAGGCAAAAGGGAGCTGAGGACACTATATCAGATAACCAAGTCTCTATCCGGGAAGAGATCAACACAAGTGAAACCTATAAAAGACAGCCAAGGGAAGCCAATTACCAAAGAAGAAAGACAGATTAAACAATGGGCGGACCAATTCAAAGGACTCTTGAATCTACCACCACCTACAACCCGTCCAGTTATACCAACAACAGCACGTACACAACTGCAAGTTGACACCAATCCTCCAACGAAAACTGAAGTCATGAATGCAATCAAGCTTCTGAAAGCTGGAAAAGCAGCTGGACCAGATGGAATACCCACTGAAGCACTGAAAGCGGACCCAGAAACGACGGCAGATATGCTGACTCCATTATTGCAAAAGATCTGGAAAGAGGGAAAGGTGCCTACTGACTGGAGGAAAGGTTACCTTGTGAAACTACCAAAGAAGGGCGACCTGGGACTCTGCAAGAACTGGCGAGGAATCATGCTCCTGTCGACGACAAGTAAAATCCTGAGTCGCATCATCCTGGAGAGAATCAAGGACGCACTGGATACAGAACTCCGACCAGAACAAGCTGGATTCAGGAAAGGCAAATCATGTTCTGACCAAATTGCAACTCTACGCATTATCATCGAACAAAGCATGGAATGGCAATCAAATCTCTACCTCAACTTTATAGACTTTGAGAAGGCCTTCGACAGCGTTGACCGCGAAGTAATTTGGAAACTACTCGAGTACTACGGCGTACCCCAAATATTCATCAACCTTATTTAACAACTGTACGACAACGGCACATGTCAAGTGATCCACAACGGAAAACTCAGCGAAGCGTTTGGAGTAAACACAGGAGTCAGACAAGGGTGCTTATTATCACCAATGATATTCCTAATTGTGGTGGACTGGATTATGCGTCAGACAGTGGGAAACGAGAAGACAGGACAGATATCCTGGACCGACGTGAAAAACCTAGAAGACCTGGATTTTGCGGATGATTTATGTTTGATGTCACAGAAAATCGAAGACTTACAAGTGAAAACCGACAAACTGGTCGAAGAAGCAGCAAAGACAGGACTCCAGGTGAACATAGACAAGACGGAGGTTATGAAAATAACCACCACCAACAACAACAACAGCAACATACAGTGCCAATCACCATCAACGGGAGGGATTTGAAAGAGGTTACTTCTTTCACTTATCTAGGGAGCATTGTCTCAACCACAGGAGGAACGGACGAGGATGTCAAATCGAGAATCGGGAAGGCGAGAAACACATTCATCAACCTGAAACCAATCTGGAAATCTTCGTCACTCAACTCAGAATCAACAACAAAATTCGGATTTTCAATACAAACGTGAAGTCAATTTTGCTAAACGGATCAGAAACTTGGCCAATGTGTCACAAAGAATATTTCCAACAGCCTGTTGCAGACCTTTATCAACAACTGTCCTCGTTCTACACTGAAGATTAGATGGCCGGAAAGAATCACAAACAAGAAGCTATGGGAACAAACGAAACAGGAACCAATCGCCCAACAAATATGTAGGAGGAAGTGCAGATGGATTGGACACTCACTGAGGAGGCCGTTGAGTGACATCGCGCGTCAGGCCATAGCTCGAGTGGAACCCGAAAGGGAAGCGGCGAGTGGGACGTCCAAGGGTGACATGGAGGAGATCGTGTGAGGAGGAGATGAAACAGTATGGAAATAACATGGACGCAAGTGAAAAGTACAGCACAAGACAGAAGCAAGTGGAGACGTGCAGTTGAAGCCCTATGTTCCACTAGGAACCCAAGGGAACAATAATAATAATAATGCCCCTCAGTGTACTGTTAATAATGAATAAAACGTTTATCTGCGTACCTACACTTATTTATATAATCATGTAATTACGCAAATACCGGCACATGCGACTGTTTGTTGTTGAGAGTCAAGCTCACTATGGAGAAAATAAAATGTATGCTATTCTGCAAGCTCTTGAAGTATTTGAAAATGAGTGTTACATCCTGTTGTTTACTGAGTTGCCTGTATTGTGGTCACATACATAAGTAGGGGACATTGGATGCTGCACACTAGGGCTAAAAAGTAGTTTCAAGTGACTAAAAGAGCTAATGAAATCACTTTACTCAACTGACCTACTGTCATATGTAACATAGTAAATTATGAAGGCCGATCATGTACTTGAATTTACTGAAACATACAACCAGAAAGGAGCTCCAACCTCTTTTGCGTCCGAGAACTATTTGTTATGACAATTAATCTACTTGGGTAATACAATTTTACAGCCAGGAGATTGAGGTTAGAATGTTTTCAATATGTTCAGGAAATACACTACACGTGACAAATGAGGTATCGTAGGTCACAGCTACTGAAAAGTTGATAAAATTTTGTTAAGTATAGGAATTTATTCAAGCTGTACAAAGAGAATTACCAAAATATAGCGGTCAGTGAACTGAGAGAGCAATACTATCAACCACAACTGTCAAGTTTCAACTTTCACAAATGTGCACAAGTTTAAGTTGCCACTCTATACAGCCCAAAAATAAATAAAAGAGAGGAAAAATTTGATTCCAGAAAATAAAAGTATTGAGAAGTTTGAGTGAGGATGAATAGCAGCATGAAAGAACATGGCGATATAGTGGATATGAGGGTTCACATAGAGTGAATGTATTTCGTTTAACAGTAAACTCCAAAGAAAGCTGAAAGAAAAGTTGCTTATTTGTACAAATTATAATGAATTCCAAAAACCATTTCAAATAACAGAATTTAAAATCTTAAAATCACAGGATTTTTTACAAATTAGAGCTTAAAGACCATTTACTCTTGTTTGTAAAATGTAGCTGCCAAAGATAGTTTTATATAAACCCAATCAAGTGGAAAAACTGGAGAAACGCAAAATCTGTTGAACTTACATCACCAGATGTCCCGGTAACGAATACATGGCAATACTGCAGATTGACAATACCTGAAGGTTCTCTCGCCAGAAATGCTACTTGTTTATGAGTAGCATCACAAGTAGCATATGATATTCTGCGAAGAGCATGGGCCATATACACAATCTAAAGGAGATACAAGAATACTGTCGTTACTTACTTTAAGGTCATCTGAACAAATTTTAATGCCACGGATAGATACACAAACTATCACAGATTTGCTTCGCGTATACGACTATTAACTTCGATTTTACCTTAACATGGAACTTACCCTGAGAGCTTCCAGCTCTTTTTGGACCTTTTGGGCTCTGCATGCATTATCTTGCTCCTCAACGGGAAAAGAACCGATATACTAAAACATGAATTGATAAATTCGTGACTTACTGAAGAATAGCGATATATTATTTCATCTTTCATTAAAGGTAAATTAAAAGTCATGCGGTACCGTTAATTTATTACATGCAGACAACTGTTCCGAATCATTTCAAAAGCCGCCGATCTGCGATAGTCAAGGTTATTCAGCTTGAGACAAAATTAGGCGACAAGATGCTTAGATTTTCATGAAATGTACGTTATTTAATGATAATTTTTATTTATCTTGTCATTTGTTTTTTGTTGTGTTTAAATTGCCTAATATGCATAATAACCGGAGACATTTTTACAGTGGCTTGTAAAACCGCCAATTGCTTAGGTCAGTGTCGGTAAGTGACGTTTGTCGGATGTGTGGAGTCCTAGAACTATGGACAAGCCTTTTACAGATGCCGGTGAAGTTACATTACGCAGCAATCTCCACGCATGATTCACAGGTGGTATAATCAAGTCGAAATATGCCTTATGTTCTAGATTTGCTAATCGATTGCCAGGGAGATCGAGTGTTTGATTAGTCTGAATAATTAATTAATTTGAATTGTTATGACATGCTTATGCAGATTAAGGTTAGGAGTAGAACTTGCCAGTTAGTAGGGGTTAGATTCAAGAACAGAATCAGAAGCATCAACGAATATGAGAATACCATGTTCTGTAATCATGTTTTTAGTAATTTTCGACTTATATCTCACCTTATTTGTGATATGTTAATGTCCAGTGGTGAAGTTGATCAGGAGTGCTGTTATGGTATAGCTTGTCTCAGGGTGGCTCTTATGTTCCCTGTCAGAAGACCAAAACTAGCTTAACACACTCTTGTCAGAAATACTCTTGAATATACTTTTTGCACCATTTCTAACGGATATATATTGAGTAGTCTCCTGTCGTACAATGTAATCGACAGACTGACAAACGCAAAGTTTGTATTCCTGGAATATCTTTATTTTTAAGATGCTGGTTCTCAATAATTGCTTAACATGGTTGGTGAAACAGTAACTTTGCAGATTGCCTCATATGATGCGTTTGGATATTGTAAGTCATGAATTTCGTACAAAGAAATCAGTTGATTGACGCTGTTTATCTCCAGTGTAAACAGTTAAAGTATGATACATTGTCAATATGCACATAGAGACAATATGGTAGAGCAGCGTGAAGTGGGCAGTTATCATGTCACTGACGAACCGTTCGTAATTCACGTGTATGGTCATCCTCATCACGTACTTTCTAGATTTATTTTGAGCATCGGATATTATTATCGGCCAATTTAAACTAAGGAAGCTACCTTGGTATATGGCCTTCGACAACCAATAACTATATCAACTGGTACCTTCTATTTTGAACCTGCTCAAGGAGTTCTGAAAAAGTCAAATATCTGATTGTGTGCATAATAGATTAATTTAAGTTTCTAGAATATGTATATTCAGGTGAATCTTTGTATGGAAACGCGTCTTCTGAAAAGACAGCTCATTCTTATTAAGTTCTAAGATGAGTGACTTCACTGCATACATGGTTAGCTATCTGATACATAGTAGCCAGAAATCTTTTCTACTATAGTTTTTTGAGTGATTTGACAGTTAGTGAAGCCTGTTGGCGCTGATACGTTCTCTTATCAACTCAGGGATTTTCTAGTTGACTTATGACCAATTTATAACCCATGTAATTATTTTCACTTTCTGACAGCGCTTTTCTCTTCTGTCTTATTTTCGCACTAGTGCGTCTTTTCTCAAAGTGCTTTCCCCCGTTTGTAAGAGCTTTTCACTGAATTTAGCATTCGTTGACTAACCACTGCCACTTTGTCCTATGAGGCTAGTATCCTGTTGGTTCTGTGAACTGATTTGATGCTTAAGACATCTTCACTTTTGAGTATTATAGTCGTATGTTGAATGGATTTTGCTTTTACCAGCGATGTTAAATCATTGGGGATTGCCAGTGTCCTGTTTACTCATCTATTAGTTTTCACGTCATCTATGTAGACTGTACGTCGTGACATATTCTCCAGCTTCATAGAAGCTTTTAACTTTGGTTATTATACCGCAAAGCATACTTTTAGTTGTTAGTTAACGTAGGATTTCGGATTCGTCTGAATTAATTTTCAGTAGCTTTACCGTAATGTTTGTTTTTTTATTTCAAGCATTTTACCTAAAATTTCACTGGCTGTTATTTGTCAATCTCAAAATGTGAGTCACTGTTGTGTTATCACATTCGTAATTTACCCTTCCTGTAAATATAGGCGCTTATATGTTGTGCGGCGTTATCTTAAATAAAACATTTGTATTTATTTTTTAGTGGTTTCCGCTCACAATGGCTCTCGCAGCTCAAAAAGCACTACTGGATGAGCTCATGGGTAAAAATCGAAATGCGGTCAATGGTGAAATCTCCGGCGGTCCGCATTGGTCAGATGATGACGTATGCAAGTTTTATTTGTGTGGATTTTGTCCCCATGACTTATTTGTCAATACTAAAACTGACTTGGGTCAATGCCCCAGATCTCATGATGAACGCATGAGAGAATCTTATAAAAAAAGTTCGCGTTTCGGCAAAATGGGGTACGAGCAAGATTTTGTTCACTATCTTACCCAGCTTTTGGAGGATGTTGAAAAGAGAATCAGAAGGGGACATGAGCGTTTAGCAGTCAACAAAAGTGTCAATAATCCAGATCCGATTGGTGCAAGTGAGAAAAAAGAAAAGATAGCTGCACTTACAAAAAGAATAAATGATTTAGTGAAGCAAGCCGAAGAACTAGGAACTGAAGGGAAAGTTGATCAAGCACAAGGAGTTCTAAAGTTATGTGAACAACTAAAGTTTGAACGATCACAGCTTGAAGGCGATGCACGTCCAGGAATGACTCAGGTATGCTTTTTGTTCTTTAAATGTTTACTATCACTTTTCATAGACTAAAGAACTAGAAGTCTGTGAGATATGTGGAGCCTTCCGAATCAAAGATGATGCACCCCAACGAGTAGAAGAGCATTTGTCTGGTAAAATGCATCTTGGCTACGCAAAAATTCGTGATTATTTGAGGCAGTACAGTGAACAAAACTCCAATTCTTCTTCTCGTTATGGACGGCGGGATAGACGATCGCCTGATCGTTCTCCTGTTTCCCGGGATCGTACACGTCATCGAAGCCGCGGTAGGAGTCTGGAGCGAAAGTACGTTCTTTTTTCTAAACTTAAGCTGTGGTTAGTTGTATCACAGTTCCCTGATGAACTGATGTGATTCGATTGGAATTATTTAAAAGGTACTCATTGCAGATTTTAATTCCGCTTATTAGGTGATTTTGGAGTCATCGTCTGTTACGGGGGCAATCGGTTCCACAAGGTATATTTACTTTTAAAGCCCTAAGTAGTTTATTTACCATAGATTGTAAAGTTCGGTTAAGATACACACCATAGATTTAACCTACCGATTATTGTTATTCTATGTTTTGTATGCATCCTTCAAATGTCTTTTGTTTCTACCTGTTTTCAGTTCTCATTTACAGTCTAGCACTTCTCGACATGATCACCGTGAAAGCGGAAGTGGCAGATTTAGATCTAGACATGATTTTCGCGATGACAGACGACGATATGGTAGGTCGCGATCAAGGTCACGATCAAGAAAAGCCTATGATCGCCACCATCATGAACATGCTTCTTCTAAATCCTCCAAACGCAACACGTCGCCTTTCAGTGCTGCTCGACGTCCTCCTGAAGGAGCTGAAGACTACTAAATTTTCAGTCTTAATTGTTTATTCGAACATTGTATATATACATATTCCAGATACGTTTTTCTTTTAATCGCTGCTAAGACACATCAACCTGTGATGCACTCAGTTCTTAGTTTGTTTATACCTAGCAAACTTCATACATATGTTCACTTAATGTGTCCAAATAAAAATGTTATTGTAATTTAGGTCTTCTCCTTTTCGAAATTCTCAGCCAGAAAGTGAGAGGAGTTGCAGTAATTGAGATCACCTTAACAGTGGTGAAAAGTTATTTCCGTGTATGCAGGTGTAAGGTTAGTTAATGTCTGCTTTGTTTCAGTTTTTGTGTAAAAATAGGCCATCTCGCTACTCCCCACATCTGAGTAAATGCTAAACGACGATGGTTCATTGCTCTCAAAACCCTCTAATTATCTAGCTAATACCAACTAATGCTTTGTAATGTGTATTGATCCACTCGATGGTGCATTCTTGGATGATAGGTTAACTTTTTCTCCCTAAGTGACTAGTAGTTGTTGGTTACAGAATTCGGATGCATCTCTTGATAATATTTGTGAACGTGGTCACGGTATTCATGGCTTGAAATCTGAACTCATAGCGCTTCACTGCATATCCAACTGATAGTTTGCCGTGGGATTCCGTAGTGTGTACAAACATATGCAGATATTAGGGGCATTCGGGAGATCGCATTTTGTTAGTATCTTCAAGCTTGCGTACCATGCGTCAACAAACCATTCCACTCTTAGCTTATAAGTTCTTAAGATAGGAGTACACTTACTGTAATGTAAGTGAAACTAGAATGCCGACATGAGGCATTCTGATGTACTTCGTGGTTCGGGGACACAGACTACACCACTAGACCCTTACATGGTCACGTGAGGTCGAGTGCCTTCATTGGCACTACATACTCCGTCACAGTCATACACTGCTGCTGAGTTGAAGGAATAGAATGTCACTTTCATATTAAGATATCTTTTAATTATATGCTTTGACTATTATTTGTTATTGATTCTTTCTGAAACCTATTATGAATTCCATGAAGAAGTTAACGGTGTTTGAGCGTTAATTACCCAGTAACCATGATTGGAGATTATCAATTGAGTCGTGTAGTTTTTACTACTACAGTCCTTTGCTTTGAGTTAGTCTTCAACGAACTTTAAATGCCATTTCAGCAAATTGCTCCGGAATCACTTTCGATGAAACAGTCAGTGGTGCAGTTATCAAGCACTGTATGCTATATATAACAGTGTAGTCTCAACTGTGGTTTTTTATGAGGTCAGTTGATCTGTTTGATTTAGCTAACTGTACCTAGTCAGAAATATCAACAGTAAACCAATCGTTTTATGTGGAGATATTGGTAACTGCGTTATTGCAAAACTTTCCATACCCTCTTAAGCGACGTAGTACGACAGAGGATGGGTAGTCTTTGGTCTCTCATATATCTGTGTTCCTAGCCTATGCCAGGCGAATCCTATTCACAGACTTCACGCAGCGAGTATGTTCCTAACAATGGTGAAAGAGGGAATGTAGACGTCTGGGCCTTACAACCGGATCGCTTGACATGGTGGTTTATCTTGGGTGAGTTGGAAAACCCTGATCCATCACCTATGGTGTGTACATGGGCTCCAAAATCCGAAAGGATCGAATGACGTATGTACCTGTCTCGGTCACTGGCAACCATGTGATCAGACCTTGAGTAAATGGCTTTGGTCGCTTAAGGCAACCACTTGCTACGGTCCGACCAGTATCCCAGCACTTGTATATATTAGATTTTGTGTGGCTCATCTCCTTGTGCCCAGAGTGTACCAATTTTGTTTTAAATTTAATAGTAATTTACCATTCCTGGCTTATTGATCTAGAGTGCTCAGGCTATCTAATAAATAATTTTATAACTACTACTCGAAAATTACTGGTGGAAGTCCAACAACGTAATCTGATTGATTCAGTTAGCTAATCGTATTACTCAATATGCTGGTATTGAGATAATCAGCTTCCGAATGTAACACAATCCACTTTTTTATATTTGAAATTTATTAGCATAACTATCATATCAACAACAACAATAAAATAGTCGAATGGTGTTAAATTCAACGATAAGTTCATATATTTTGACCTTAAAAATTTATAGGTAATATAATTAGTTTAGCTTATTGATCTACAAGTCTGTTTTGCTGTTCATCAATAATATGCTCGTTCGTTACAAATAAACTGAATTATAATTCGTGTAGTGAAGACTGTCAATCCAACTTCAAAGTAGGTGATGTACTCATGACACAACAGTGATTTCACAATGCCACGTTGAGGTATTACGTTATATAAGTGAGAACTCATAGTGCTTAAGCTTCCTTTCAGGTAATAAACACATCGTGCTCCGCTAATTTCAGGGCTGAATCATACCGGATAGACCGTTGGTGAGCTGGGCCCCAAACGAGTGAAACATCTCTGTCTGGTTTCTTAGATCACCTCCATAATCTTGCTAGTCAGCACACACGCTGCTGGTTGATATGAGTCGTATACAACCGCCCATCCCAATCGACCAGTAATATGTAATTTTATTCGAAAGTGCTTGCCCTCTTGATTACCAATGGTAGTTTCCAAAGGAAACTATACTGAAATCTCAGCATTAGAACTGCTATAAGTCGTGAATTTGATTTAAACTCAGAATGTCGAGGTGGTATTTGTCAGTTATACTTAGTATTTCAACAGTTGTTTACGTGCGATCGATGATAATATTAGTATTAGTCCTTCGGGTTCCGAGTGGAACATATGCCTTCAACAGCGCATCTCTGATGTGTTCTATTTTCTTCAGTCCTATTTCGCCGGCCCTAAGATTGTCCATAGCCTCTCATCTCTTCTTCACCCGGTTTCCGTCATGTCACCCTCGGACGATCTACCAGTCATTTCACTTTCCACTTGAGCGATGTCACGCAGTGTCATTCGACGGTCTCCGCAGCTTGTGCCTAGTCCATCACCATTTTACTCCTACATATATTTGATTGGTTTGTTCTCACAGATTCTTGTTGCTAATTGTTTCTGACCGGCGATCTGATCTTCAGTATGGAACCACGGAAGGCAGTTATTGATAAAATTTTGAAATTGCCTGTTGGGCATGAAATTTACAGACTTAATATTGATGTTGAAAATTAGAATTTCGTTCTTGATGCTGAGTGCAGTGCAGAAGATTCTCGAACTGATCTCAGAGTGATTAAGGTTTGTATGGCCTTTCCGACCCCGATTTGTTTTGACATCCTCATCTACTCTGTCGTCTATAGTTGGAACGACCGTGTCCCGTCAGATACGTGAAGAAAGTGACATCTTTCTAATCTTTTCCGTTGATAATGATTGGTGTTTGTTGTTAGTGGTCGCTGGTTGCTTCTTCTGCGAGTTTGTTGGCTTTTGCGTGTAAATCTTCTAGTTTGTGCGGCATTAGACATAAATCATCCGCGATCAATGATAGTGTGGTATACACAATTCAGGGTTTTACTGGTGTATCAGAAAATCTTCTGCTGATGTTGGTTTTTTCTTCAAGCTGGATGGTTCAGCTGCAAAGTGTTCAGTGTCCAACCCGATGGCATATTTATTTAAAACACAGACTTGATATATTATGGACACCAGGAGATACTCAACACAGCAAAAAAAATGTGTATAAAAAAGTAGGGATAGAATGAGTGAGTGAATGTCATCCAGAAGGGAAACCAGCATACTTATCACGATCATTCAACATTCATCGCTTCATATTAATTTTAGAAAGGAAAGGAAACTGCAGTATGTCCACCTCTGATTGCTATTCTTCACCATGCATCCAATAATGTTTCGAGCCACCAATCTGAAGTATCTTTCAGACGCCAACCAGGGTTTTTTGGTGTACCAAGTGATGATGCCAACCTAACATAAATATTCGTCATCCCACTGCACCAGGTTTCGGGTTGACCTACTCTTCACTTTTTCGACCCAATGCTAGCGAACAGCTACCAGTACGGAAGCCTCCGAGATTATATCTTGACGGCATGACTTCTTTTTAAAGCTCAACGGATACAAAAAACACCACTATGTGTGTGTAAAGACTGAATGCGTAATAGCAGGTACGGATGGTTACTTCATTTTCCTGTGTGGTAATGAAAATATCGGGGAAACAATAGTAGAATAATTGAACTCATATGCGTCGGTGGCATAGTGGTTAGGACGCTTGCCGACCGTGCACATGGTCCGGGGTTCGATACCCGGCTGGCGCACTCCTTTACCTCTCTAAGCCAGAACTAAATAAAAGCTGGTGAAGAGGAAAGGGTGGGCATGAGGCTTGCAAACTCATCCTGTAAAAATAAACACTGCTACAGAATCTTCAAGCCTCTAACTTGAAGCCCTATGTTCCACTTATGATAGAAATCACAGTAATATGCAGACTTTTCTAAATTCAAGCAACCCCGAAATAGTGTACTGAAATCAAACTTTTAGACTGTGAAGAATGTTATTATTAATATTATTATTATTAGACATTATAGCATGATATATCTCTACTTCATTCGAAAGATTACCAGTCAGTCAAATCAACTACTGTAAATACCACACGTCAAGAATTATTTTCATTATCTTTTTTTCTGTGTATGATGGAAACCAACAGTAATAAATCTGAATAAAGCAAGAACTACAGTTTTAGCAGAATAAAATGCTACCATCTTTTATTTCGTTGCCTTCTCGTCAGCTGCTTACAGGGTAAAGACATTATTAAATGTATCCACAGAAACAATTTTAACATACTTGCACAGAGTTCATTTTAAACAAAAATCAATCGTTCAATATACGCATACACTAATAATATATATATATATATATATATATATATATATATTATTAGGAGAATTGAGCTCTTTTGCTTATTGATAATTTTGAACGACTTTTTGATGTTCACCTAATGATCCGTGTCAAGAAGACGCCTGGCGATGGCACTGTTTAAAGCATTTGTTCCCTTTAGACGTAAGCTTTTTGGTACAAGTTCAGAAAATCGTAGATATGCTCTTCTTTCTGTTCTTCCAATGTAACTGCTCCCGCAGATACATGTTAACTCCAACTGTATATACAAATTTACATGTATCTGCGGGAGCAGTTACATTGGAAGAACAGAAAGAAGAGCATATCTACGATTTTCTGAACTTGTACCAAAAAGCTTACGTCTAAAGGGAACAAATGCTT